CCCCACCCAGCCCCACCCCTCCCACCCTCCACCCAGCCCCACCCCTCCCACCCCTCCCACCCCCCACCCAGCTCCATCCCTCCCCACCCAGCCCCTCTCCACCCAGCCCCACCCCTCCCATTTTTGGATGCACGACGGACGGACGGACCTAAATCATGAACGTACAGCCCTTTGTCAATCAACCGCGAGATGAGAGCCTCCCCACACCTTACAGGCCATGGAGGTGGGGGAGGTTATTTGACCATACTTCACCACCGTGGTCAGTCCGGGTTGCTGCTGAAAGCAGCTGTATCATATAAGTACATTACGATACAACAACGGGTGTTGCTGCCTACTGCCCTCTGCTGCCCACAACGCGACCCGGCAGCAGCAGTAGCGAAATTCCAACGTCTGTTACGCACAGAGCCACCCATTCAAGCACCATCCAGACTCTACTCTGGCTTCTGAGAGCTGGCGAGGTCATGTGCATCCATTCCAGGTGACTTGGTAATAGGCTAATAAAGGTAACTAACACTATATCATTACTACATGCTCTTTTATTTGACAATTATTGGCTGGTTTTTCGTCACAGTTAACGTATATTTTGGCTACCTCGCACCAACACCACCACGAGAGAGAGAGTTGTATCTGTTTAAAACAACGCGTAGCCACTCGTTTGCACAAAACGAACCTTTTTAAAACGAAAGTTACGATGTACAAAATAATAGTTACAACTGAAATCACCACCAGTTTAAATATCATCACTTAAATGTCGAAGGTTTTTTGTTGACGGGCACCCCTAGAGTAATGGATAGGGCATTGTCAATTGTTCAGCTTTAGAGCTGCGTTCACAGCAGAGGCTCTTTGATGGACAGCTACTGCCCCCTACCTGCAGAGCGATTTACAGATTTATGTTTAAGATTTACAATATGCAGTTAATATTTCGGAAAATATATTACCACGGAGGTTCATTGACATATAGTATTATACTTGTATCAGGGATTCATTGCTTCATGTACGTACATTTATTTTAGCTTGTCTTTTTTTATTCAATCTCTCTCCGTGACATTAAACGAATCTGATTTCTCGAAAGGACAGTCGCAGATCACTTCGTTAAATCTCTGTGCGGCGAGGCAAGCAGGTTATTATCGCCTGTCATATCCACGAAAGAAAACAAACAGTAGGGCCCGTTGCAGCATGCTAAAGTGTTGGTCACAAAATTCCGGTCACACCCACATTGCTGCCGTGCCCTGCAAGCAGAGGTCGCAACCGGGTACCCGATACCCGTACCCTACCCGATACCCGGCTACCCGTACCCGGCCGGGTACGGGTACCCGTTTGCGACCCTGGTGCGGCCGGGACCGGGTAAGGAATCAAAACCCGTTTGCGACCTCTGCCTGCAAGCCACCACTCAGGGCCAACCTCGCGAGCGGACACTTGACAACTGTGAGATGCCACCGCAGAAAATACAAACTAGATCACAAGACGATATCCCTCTTTCCCATATCTGTGCCTCTAACAAGAAATACACCCGCAGTTGTTTTCACACATGCCATTGGCCAAGTGGCCTTCTGGGAATTATTTCATCAGCATTGATTTAACACAAGTTTTGCCATTTAGCGCCTCATCAGCAAGGAGTCAGGCTTGCTGAAACCGATGCTGGTAAACATTCGAGTGAACAGCACTGCAGTGTTGTACTACAATATGCACAGCATAATGGGAGGCCATTCTAGACGATGGGTGAAAAAGCCGGGGCCGGCCCAAGACACATTGGCAGGACGATGTCGCTCGGCTGGCCTGGGAACGCCTGGGAATTCCCCAGGAAGAGCTACAATCTGTCGCCAGGGAAAGGGAGGTCTGGAACGCCCTACTCAACATACTGCCGCCGCAACCGTCACCAGGACAAGCAGATTAAGAAACGAACGAGGAGTTTAATTGGATGTCTTCTTGTCGTGGCAAGTTCATAGAAGGCGGTGCCACTTTGATTTTCAAAACTGCAATACTCTTCACTTATGTCCTAAGCTCGTTGTTCAACACCGTGGGTCCCCGTCCTTTGATCGTACGCAGCTATTGAACTAATCATCCACTCTTGCAATGTCCCAGGACCAAACCATCCACCCACAATGCACCGACTACAGCGCTAGGATATGCTGAGACTGGGCCTATTGGCCAATTTCCTATGATGGATGGCATTAGCGAGTGAGTTTAGGGGGTAGAACTGAGATATTCAATTTTAGTTTTTCATATTATTACGCGTGCTGACCCAAGAAAGCTCCAATTGAGTCTCAACTCTGTTTCAGGAGGGTCCTGCCAAGTTCTCGCAGTAGGGGGCGATGATTTATATTTGTAATACAATAGTAATTGGCAGATCATTGTTAGCATTGGGATGTATGGCCAATTCCAATAACATTGCATGGTTTTTGTTTTTAGTTATGGGAGGAAACCGTTGCAGAACCAGGGGAAGAGAGAACATACAAACTCCAGAGGCACCGACTTGCATTTCTATGTTCACACGAGTCTCACTGGGTGGTAGGTGACGGGCAGGGTGACGCCACCATCGCCACCATCAACCGCGCGTCATTCTGAGTGTGGCTTGCAGAGGTGGGACAAAGTCATTGTTATGCAAGTCCAAGTCGAGTCTGAAGTCATCAAATTCATGACTCGAGTCTGACTCGAGTCCAAGTCACATGACTCGAGTCCACACCACTGGCTTGTGGGGGTTTCTTTCCTTCAGTGGGCAGGCTGTGGGAGGTGGCGACAATGTGTCAAGGGGACAAAGCAGTTGACCACAGAAACAGAGTACACCCTTTAGAACATTGTTGTTAATTGACGTTTTATGGGAGGAGACAAATTAAGATTGAGACTGAATAGCTTTCGTACATTATTTTGATCCCAATATGCCAGCCTCACATTTCTTTCCAAACACGCCTGATTTAAAAAAAAAATACAGTTAGGTGCATACCCAATGAAACAGCGTTACTTTGTTGAAAGGAAACATGAGTAAAATAAATAAAAGGTAATACGGTATCGGATGTCATAACATTTTAATAGCTCGCGATGATAATTAGTACCTTTTTATTTAGCGAGGTGTTACGGTGCAGATACAATATTGTACTTTTTTTAAACAAGTCCTGAGGTATATATATCTCGTAGCATATGTCAACTGGCTATGTACCACAGGTGCGTTCACACACGTGATGCTTTGCCTCTTTTTGAAGGGTGACTCGGGTGGGCTACGTAATGTCAATTAAAATACAGCAACACATTTCAAGCATTTTAAACTTAACAAAGCAATAGTATTGAATAATACAGTACACAGCTACCGGAACTTCAATGTTGTTAATCGTAATCAATAAAACAAATTATAATTAAATATTATATAGAATATTATTTCCATTTATTTAAATATACACCAAATTAATCACAGTATTTGATGCACAAGCACTCCCAACAAACAACTCAACCAACACGTTCGGCAAGAACGCTGTCTTAAAAATAAACAAACAACTGACGTTTCGTGCAATATCCCTTTGCATAGCACATAGGAGGGCCATTGCTCGAAACGTCGCATATTACATTCCTGTTAAGGCCACCCTGTTATTGACGAACGCGTTAACTTGTACGTATTGTGATTAGTCATATATGTGTAAGAAAGAAGGGTGATGCAGTGGTTAACGCACGCCACGATGAACCCCAGCCACCCGAGTTTGATTCCTCGCCATGGCTACGAACATCACAGGTTTTATATCGGAAGCGGTGCTGGATCTCCCTACTTCAACCCACATGAACAACGCGTGGTGTAGTGCAGTTAAGAACGAACCCCTATGACTAACAAGGTCATGGAGAGGCCTCCATTCAGCAGTGGATTAAAAAAGCATGTTACTGCCCTCTACTGTCCACCGAGCGGCAGCAGCAGCAGCAGGTGTTGGTATTGACACCTACAGGTGAGGACTGGCTCACCTGCACAGGTAGGTGGAGGTGAGGGTGTGCAGGTGGGGTGTTTAGGTGGGTGGGTGTGTCTGGCAGGTGATGGTGTGCAGGTGGGGTGTGTAGAGGGTGGGTAGCTGTGTAGGTGAGGGTGTGGAGGTGGGTGGGTGTGTCTGGCAGGTGAGGTTGTGTGTAGGTCGGTGGGTGTGTCTGGCAGGTGAAGGTGTTGTAGGTGGGTGGGTGTGCAGGTGGGGTGTGTAGGTGGGTGGGTGTGTCTGGCAGGTGAGGGTGTGTAGGTGGCTATGTGCAGGTGGGGTGTGTAGGTGGGTGGGGTGTGTAGGTAGGTGGGTGTGTAGGTGGGTGGGTGTGTAGGTGGGTGCGTGGGTGTGTAGGTGGGTGGGTGTGTAGGTGGGTGATGTGTCTGGCAGGTGAGGGTGTATAGGTGAGGGTGTGTAGGTGGGTGGTTGTGTAGGTGGGTGGGTGTGTCTGGAAGGTGAGGGTGTGTAGGTGGGTGGTTGTGTAGGTGGGTGGTGTGTCTGGCAGGTGAGGGTGTATAGGTGAGGGTGTGTAGGTGGGTGGGTGTGTAGGTGGGTGGTTGTGTAGGTGGGTGGGTGTGTCTGGAAGGTGAGGGTGTGTAGGTGAGGGTGTGTAGGTGGGTGGTTGTGTAGGTGGGTAGGTGTGTCTGGCAGGTGAGGTTGTGTAGGTGGGTGGTTGTGTAGGTGGGTGGGCGTGTCTGGCAGGTGAGGGTGTGTAGGTGGGTGGGTGTGTCTGGCAGGTGGGTGGGTGTGTAGGTGAGGTTGTGGAGGTGGGTGATTGTGTAGGTGGGTGGGTGTGTCTGACAGGTGGGTGGGTGTGTAGGTGAGGTTGTGGAGGTGGGCGTGTCTGGCAGGTGAGGGTGTGTAGGTGGGTGGGTGTGTCTGGCAGGTGGGTGGGTGTATAGGTGAGGTTGTGGAGGTGGGCGTGTCTGGCAGGTGAGGGTGTGTAGGTGAGGGTGTAGGTGGGGGTTTGTAGGTGGGTGGGCGTGTCTGACAGGTGGGTGGGTGTATAGGTGAGGTTGTGGAGGTGGGTGTGTCTGGCAGGTGAGGGTGGGGCCACTGCAGGTGACGACGAGGAAGAGGGAGGTGGCTGGACTGGATCTCACCTGCACGCACCTGTGTGTGTGCGTGACGCTTGCTCGGCTGAGCGGTGGCGGTGTGAGAGGCGCTGGGGGCGACTGAGCCAGTGACGGAGCGAGCGCCGCTCACTCGCAGCAGCAGCAGCCGCAGTCGCCGGGGCGTCCATTAAAACGCGAAGCAGAAGGCCTCCGCCGCTCGCTTCGCTTTCGAGGAGTCCTCGTCCTCGTCAACCGCGACGCGCAGCCGAAGACGACGACGACGACGACGAGGAGGAGGTACAGCAGCTCCAGCTGCTGCTGCTCCTGCTGCTGCTGCTGCCTCTCGTGGTGTCTCACGGGGGGAGGGAGCGCGGAAGGAGCCAGGGGAGGCGCTCCCTGATCGGCTGCGGTGATAATCGCGAGTCTTGACATCTCGACACAGCAGCGACAACCTCCACAGAATCGCCTCCTCGTCATCTCGGCGTAGACTCATCGGCATCTCGTTATCCTCCCCTTAATATCCACGTGTGCAGCCTTTGATTACAGTGCGGTCATCGATATTTCCGTATCGACTCAACATAGCCTCTCAATTTTCCCCGGTTTCATATCTCGGCTATTTATTTCATCAACATCATCCCCACAACATCCCAACATCGACTCGACATCTACCTCGAATACATCTTCAACATTATCTTCACATACTACATCCTCAGCATCCCAATATATACCCGTCAATGTTTCACTCGTCTCATCTGCATAACCTCACAATCTTTACATCCCCTACTTAATAAACTCACATCTCAGTCCCAGCATCTCAACATACCGAAACTTCATCAGCACACTCTTCATACCTCCTGAACGTCGTCCACTATTTGCCATTGCTGCTGCTGATCCTCCTGCCTCCACCTCCATCCACCAAAGCCAGCGAGCAAGGGGGAGACCTCCTCGATGGAGGGACATGAGACCGTGAAGACTGACGCCTCTGCACCTCGTGATGCCGTCGATTCGAGTTCAGGGAAGGTTCAAATCCCCAGTCTCCTGGTGGGCACAACTCCACTGGCAGGCGGCCGTGGGACCGCGGCACCCAGCACGGTTGGGCCCTCTGGGCTGCCAGCGTTGCCCAAGAGTCTGAGCGGGCTTTTGAGCTCGGCTGGCGGTGGCTTCGGGAGCCACGGGAGTGGCCCGACGTCGTGGCGAGAGCTGGAGAGGACCTACGCCAAGAGGTCCATGATCCAGGACGACCTACAGCGGGGCCGGAGTGGGGCTGCGGAGGGACGCATGTTGCTGGCCAGCTGCAAGCCCGGCAATCTGGACCTGGCGATGGCTCTGCTGCGCAAGGAAATGGTGAGATTTTTTTTTACAACGTCTACCACAGGGCCGACTTGTCGATGGGGGCCTTTAATGGTCACATTTGTGGAAGTCTGTCACCCAGAATGTCACCTCTCTGGAATTTTTTTCCAGGTTTCATGTCGACTGGTGTGGTTAATTTTGGTGGTCTGCTCCGCAATTTGAAGCACGTTCCTCCTAATTGGTTCGATCGCCGTTATTTTTAATGGGCAAGAAATAGTATTTTGATTTTGTGCGAATAAAAAATAAGAGATTTTTTTAATCTGATGATCATGATGATGAAAGTTGTGAGTGGTGGCCAAGAACATGCATGAGCACACTTGCTGTAGTTGTTGGTGCTGTTGTATTTTATCCAATTATTTGAAATGCATTTAAACTCGATCGAGTGCTGCATATATGTAATGTTAAATGCTTATCTGGAATTTAATAGCGTTACAATACAGAGACGCTCAATTAATCTGCTTCAATAATGACACATCCTTTTGGAAGCTTTTAAAAATAGAAACTACCTAATGGTTTCATATTTTAGCGTTGTTTGATTCTAAGCATACGCCAGCTGTCTACTTGAAGTTCCTATAATGTAATCCAGTATTTGATGATCTCATAAATAACCTGCACACAGCTCTGTCAGGAGTTGTTGGGTCATGGACGCGTTAGACCGGTTCAAATGTCTGTCCATCGCCTGTTTGGTGTAGGAAATGAACAGTCCTTGTGAAGTGTAACCAGTTAACTACCGGAAGAACTGCCCTTTAACTGTAATTCTTGGCTCTGCCAATACTGTATCGTGTGTGTTTGTGTTTTTGAACATTGCCCTTAGGCAACAAGGCCACTTTCAAAATGGTTTGGCTGTAAAGTGCCAGCAGGTGTGTTGTGCTACGGTAGCAAACGTCGGTGCTATTGGCCATGTAGAGTACTTACTGTACAATAAATGAATACTGTACCAACAGCGTCATGGGGATCCTGGTGTCATGTACATTTTAGCGTTCTGGACTTGCAATGCAGAGGTCGCCAGTTTAACGGCCCCACACTTGCTAATATGATGCAAGTCTCTTAAATGTCTGATTCCCATCCCCCCGTCCCTGTTCACCTTAGTAGTATAAATGGGTACATTACTGCCGTTCGGCAGGTTGCGTGTGGTCGAGTAAGTGTGGGTACAGCCAGCTCTTTTGAGACGTCGGGCCAATTTGAAAGAGGAGACCGACTGTGCTTTAGAGGGGCTATTTAAAGCTGCCTCGAGTGGAGGGCCAGCAGTATTGTGAGTAGGCAGTGTCAGGGCTGCACCTCCACCACCAGCATCGCGGTCAATGTTGGTGGTGAACAAGATGACTTGCGGCAAAGTTATATGGGCGTTGTTAATTGCACACTCTGTGTGCATGGTTGTGTTGAGGTCTCCAAGACTGCAGTTTTATAGCGAATCTAAACACATAAAATGTGTGCGGTCTGTGTCATGTAGGTCATCGTTGCTAAAATCCAAGCATTTATTATTTTACTTTTTTTCCCTTGGTAGTCATTTCATTTATGCATTTTTTTTGCAAGCACAAATGGTTCTCTGTTGCAATATCTTTGTCCTGTCTATCTTGGAATTCAACAACAGTATTCGGTCAAAAACGTTTACATTATTTTCTGAAGTGGACTGAAGTTTTAATTAATTGAAATGGTGTCTCTTGCACACGGTGCAGATGGGACTCCGGCAGCTGGACATGTCCCTGCTGTGCCAGTTGTCGGCCCTCAATGAGGGCATGCAAGAGTACAAGACGCTCGTGCAAGACCTCTCCATGGCCTCTTCCGTCACTCCCTCCGAGACGTCCTTTGAGGACGACTACGACGGCGAGTTTTCCCCGAGGAGCGGCTCGTACGCCGTGGGCTCCTCGCGTTTAAACGAACCTTTCCAGATGACTATTTGACACTACACAAGGTTGTTCTTGTTGTTGACAATCCCAGAATTCCCTCTCGTCGACCAATTGCGACTGCCACCATGAAACTGCCACCATAAAATTAGAAGGCCAAAACATCTCCCAGGTCTATTTCGTGGCCCATCCATTTGTAATATACTAGTTACTTATTGGATACAATTAAATATAAATACTGGGGAGTATGTGAAACATCATGTTTTCTTCGTTAGATTGGTTTTGGTGGGCTTCATAGAATGTCATGTCATAGTTGTGGCCCTATGAATATTTTTGTTTAAATATAAATAGTGCAATTGATTTTTGGTGACGCCATTCAACAGCAGTAAAATAAAGCCATTGGTCTAAAGATTAATAGCCTTGTGAAGTATAGTAGTAGTTATGTCTAGCACAGCAGTTTACTGTATGTATCAATGCCTTTGCATTAGTCCTTAGGTAATTCAGCGAATTTATCAAAAACTTTAAAAAAACTATGGGTATCACTGTGATAGTGTAAAATCTGCTATAATCAAGTGCACAACATCTCATTGTTTCTGGCCTGTAACATGGTTATCGTCAGCTCTGGTTTCAGCGTATCTCAGGGGTACGCTTCACATTGTGGGCTCGTAAAGGGACTACATTTTGTCTTAATATTCCCAGAGTATATCTGACTGACATGGGTGTGCCTGTCCAGTCTTGCTACTTGAGTTTTTGAAGCTCACATGCTTCTCTGCCATATCAAGGCAGTGCTCCACTGAAGGCCAGTAACGTGACACAGGGTCTGTCGAATGTATGGAAGACCGCGATTGTTGTTTAGTGGAGTTGCGGGTATCTCATAAAGCCAGAGCTGCCACGGGTGAACATCAGAAATGACAATGTTTGCAGCACCGGCACAATGCAGATAGTAGGGGTAGAAAAGGGTTCATTGATTGTTATTTTAAAACTCATGATGCTTATTGATGTGGGATTCTATCTTGGGAATGACCTCCCGGGTAACACGTGAATATGAGCTATGCTTTGGCTTGTAAAGTTGATTTTAAAAAGCAAGTGGCCTTCACGTTAAACAGAATAGACTAGCAGACAATATCTGCCTCTGCGCGCATAACATATAAAGGTAATCTTACACAACCCATCAGCTTCCCGGCCCTCCAAGAATACATGAGGTGGCAGCATTAATTCAGATAAAAGCACATTTTGGAGCGGGTTTGACATTGATTGTCACCTCAGCCGTCAGGCTCACTTGAATCAATATGGTGAACTACGAGATGTAATCGACAAGGACACTATCTTTAATATATGGGTTTCACTTTAAACATATCATGTAACTATGACTGCACATTAAAATGACATAAGCCTCCCTCCAATTTGCCTAACATTCACCTGCTTGTCCCTTGTCCTGAAAAATGCCTTTTGAAAACCAAATCTGGTTCAGCATTCTGAATGTAGGCAGCTTTATCTGGGTGCTTTTGATCTATACCTTATTGCATAAATGTTTCCATTCGTTTTATTCCTTTACGTTTTTTCATGTTTTTCTTGGATTGGTGTACGGGTATAATTTACAAAAATGCCATTTGTTTAATCCTGGTGCATGTCAGGACACTGTAGGGTCACACTGATTCTGTTTAGTTTGTGGCTTTATAAAAATCAGGTCAAACTTTACTTGCACTGATTTGCTGTTTCGTGTGGTCCCATGTCCACGAACAATAGTTTGTCTGAGAGCATTCACAGCATTTAAACATTTCTTGGTATTTTAAAGCATTCGTACATGAGAGGCACATACCAACTTAACAATCTGTAATGTTGCCTATCCAGTTGAGATTGTGAAATGAAGTGAATGGTTCTGGATTTGTATTGGCTGTTAGTTTGTTCTGCTGCATTCCTAATCTTTTTCAAATATTATTTTTGCATCTTGACCAAATGTTTATTTAGTTTTCAAATGCAATGTGTATACGTGATGGAATTTGTTATGTTGGTTCATTGGAACTCATGAACTGAATACATTTACATACATACACTGTATGTGTTTTGCAAAGCTTTGTTGAAGTATCGCAGTCGTCAGCGCGTTTGCATACTGCCATGAACAATAACAGGCCGGTGATCGCTCAGGGGTGTGTTAGTTCTTCATGCCAGGGTGCAGATGCAGCATAAATAGAAGTTGAAAAAGAAAGAGGTTTAGCTCAAGACTGATTGCATTCTTGGGGAGCTCCTGTTGTGTTTAGCACACTGGACTTGCAATTTAGAGGTCTCAGGTTCGATCGTATTTTCCGGTGCTCCACTTGAGCAACGTTGCAAGTTTCTCACATCCCTTCACCTCTATCCGCCCAGCAGCGTTAGATGGTGGGTAATACCACGGTTACCGAGTAGGTAAGTAGCTGCCCTTGAACTGGAATTCCTGGCCCTGCCAATACTGTACTGTGCTGTGTTTTTAAACATTGCCCTTGAGCAACGGCTCACTTCAAAAATGGTCTGGCTGTTATAAGGTGCCAGCCGGTGGGTTATGGTGATGCAAATCGTGGGCGCTATTGGGCACGTAGAATGTTTGCTGTCAATACATACTGTACGGTGGGGAGGTAGCCGTGGTGTAACGGTCAGCACACTGGACTTGCAATCCCAGAGGTCGCCAGATCGATCTCCCTACACTGCACTTGAAACAATGAGACCACGATTATTAAATCCGCCTTCCCTCCCCGCCTCTGTCCACCCCACTGGTATTAATGTGTTCATCACAACTGATTGGCAGGTCGTATGCGGTGGGGTAAAGTGTGGGCACCCCCACCTTCCTCTAACACGTCTGGTCAGCCTGAAAGAGAACTCAAGCACGAGGGGAGCCCCCTCTGCTAGCAGTGGCGTGAGCAAGCAGTTGCAGGCTAACACCCTCCACCTGTCCCAACACATCCTTCCGCAAATCTTCTTGGTTCTTTCGGTAAAGTCACGTAGAAGGGAAGTAATAAAATAATAAAAATAAAACATAATAAAAATAATTCTCACGACGTTTCGGCCACAACGCAAGCAGCCGTCCTCAGGTGAAGACCCGGTCTGTCGGGGAGACAGCGAAACGTCGTGAGAATTAATTTATTATGTTTTATTTTTAGTATTTTATTACTTCCCTTCTACGTGACTTTACCGAAAGAACCAAGAAGGTGAATCCCTGCAGTCACGAAAGCTTTAAATCGAAAAATCCTTACGCACCGTTACTATCGTAGGCTGCTCGTACACTGATTACATTGTGCAAGGTATCGTGCCTGAATGAGTTATGCCATTTAATTTTAACCTCCTTGTCACCGAGAGCGCATTTAGAGATTGCATTTTGGAAGCGGATGATTCAGTTGCCAGAATTTGGATCCTCCCTCGTATAAAATAGCGGTTTATGGAGCAGTCTAAACCAATGCCTTCTCCAGTACTGCTGCCACCTCCACCGCCTGCCAGCGGCACACACACACTCACACACACTCACACACACTCACACACACTCACACACACTCACACACACTCACACACACTCACTCACTCACACACACTCAAAGACAAAGATCCCCCGTATAGCCTGAACAGACTGTAGGGGCAAGTGCTGTTAGCGAGCACCTATGAAGGCCGGAACGGTACACGAGGGGGTGGGTGGCCAGCACCACGCCCGACCGCCTTTGTCTCCCTAGTGGCGATGTTTACACACCGCACCAGGTACTCATTTAAGGCTGAGTCGACCTAGGGGAGGCCCAGGACCGGTTCAGATAATCGTCACTGGTGTTAGCCGTGAGCGGGAATCGAACCCGGGTCGCCAGGTTCATAGCGCAGCGCGCTAACCGCTACACTACCGCTCCCCACACTCACACACTCACACACACTCACACACACACTCACACACACACTCACACACACACTCACACACTCACACACACACTCACACACTCACACACACTCACACACACACTCACACACACACTCACACACACACTCACACACACACTCACACACTCACACACACTCACACACACTCACTCACACACACTCACACACTCACTCACACACACACTCACACACACTCACACACACACTCACACACACACTCACACTCGCTTCCGCTCACACGTTGTGTGATTTTTCCATTTAAAGCTTTCGTGACTGCAGGGATTCATCATCTTGGTTCTTTCGGTAAAGTCACGTAGAAGGGAAGTAATAAAATAATAAAAAATAAAACATAATAAAATAAAACAAGTCTCACGACGTTTCGGCTACAACGCAAGGCTGCTTGACGTTTCGGCTACAACGCAAGTAGCCTTGTGTTGTAGCCGAAACGTCGTGAGAATTGTTTTATTTTATTATGTTTTATTTTTATTATTTTATTACTTCCCTTCTACGTGACTTTACCGAAAGAACCAAGATGATGTGTGATTGTTGTTACATACTCGGTCAACCCACGAGAAGTCACTGTGGTATAGTCTTTATTAATAAATTATAATTTAAGAAATGTACACACTTAATATTATATACACATTCTTTAATAATAATAAATTAACTTGAAAACACTTAATTTGACATCTAACATTGTATGAGCACACGTTAACGTTCAGCAGACTGGAACGTGCATTTCAGTGTTGCTATGCCCTGTGGTGAAACGTGGGTGTCGTGACATGAAGGGTTTGTAGTCTTTGGTTCTTTCGGATATCCCACCCGAGGACGATCGCTTATGTGGCGATCGAAACGTATTGATCTATTATTATGATTATTTTTCTACCCACGTGACTTGACCGAAAGAACCAAAGAGTATGGATTCCTGCAGTCACGAAAGCGTCAAATCAAGAATGAAGGGTTTGCTTTGGCCAGTCATCAGTCAGTAGCCACCGAGGGCCACAATTTATCTCGCACAAATATACAAAAAAAAACACACGGTCATTATTACAATCATTTCGCAACATTTAACACAATTATCACAGCTTGACAACATCTTGCACACGTACACATTGACAAATTTGCACTACCCTGTTAAAACAATGTTTTCATACTTGAACACACACACACACGCACGGCCACAAATACACAGTGCTTTTCTCGGCAGGTTTTCGTGAACACCCGTTGACCACAACACATCAAAGCAAGAAAGCCCCTCTCCCCAGTTGGTGTGCACCGTGTTTGTCACGCACGCTGTCATTGTTGGTGTTGCCCAATCGGCAACTTAGACACATCGTGGTCTTTTTTTTTCTCGAGCAGTCAGTGGAATGTGTCACCACCTGGTAATGCGCACACATAGGCCTCGGCAAGGTAAGGTAACAGTGTAAAAACAACGAGCCTACCTTTTACCCTACCCTTTACCCTTACCCCTTGGCATGTCGACACCTTTACCCTTACCCTTTTACCCGGTAAAATGGTACAATTACCTTACCTTGCCGAGGCCTACGCACACACACACACGTCAAACAAAGACCTGACCAGCTCGTGGTCTTGGGCGAGGGTTCAGCGGCAGTCACGTGTCTCAGCGGGAGCGCATTCGCCGCTTGTTCTCGAGATTCAAGGTTCATATCCGACGGAGTGCCCAGGTTATGACTACGGGCATATTGCGTGTAAAACACACGCCGTCTGCTGCACAGCGCGTGTTTAAGATCCCATGGCGTGATTTGAGAAAAGTAGGCCAATGTGCAGGTGTTATGGTCCAAATTAGAGAATGTACTTGTAACCGTACACGTTAGCGACATCGCCCCCTACTCCGAACCGACTGCAGACTGTGATACAGCGCCTTCGTAAAGCCTTGCGTTTTCAGACTGGTGCTAATACCAAATGTTCTAAATTATTACTCTCCGTGTGAGTGTCTGTTCTGGGTATGTCAGTCCGTCTGCCACCTCGGTGTGGCATTGCTTTACGTGCACGGGCTTGCTGTGTCTTGTGTTATATTCGGAGTTAAAGTCCCGGAACTCTTTGAACCCCTGCCTTAAAGTTGCGGGGGATTTTCTCTTTCATGATGTCCGGACCCCTCCATCACATCCGTTTACACTTCCATTGCGACAATACATTACAATCACCCGACTGTGTGTGTGTGTATTTGTACAAAGGCACACACACGCGCACGTATACGCACATATCAAGGTAACTGTGTTGCATTGTCTGCTTTCCGAAGATGAGGGTAGAGGAAACTACAATTACTTGTGCAGGACTTGGCACCAGGCTTTCCAGGAACACTGTGAGAGTCTATTGATTGAACTCTAAATCCTGCATATAAATCACGCTCTCTAGGAACACATGCCTGCGAATTGTGAACTCATATGCAGACTCCTGGAGTTATACGGAGTTAAAAAGTAACATACTTAAATTAATCAATATTACGTATAAAAATGCACTTTAATCTTTAAGCGTTGTTTTTGGTTAAAAACGCGTGGGGCTTTTACCCTCGTTTTGCTGCATTTGTTTGTGGTCAGCGGTTTTCCCGATGGAGGATTCTAAATCTTTAAAATCCAATCTAGAGCCACGACGATTAACGGCTGGCTCTGCACCAGTGCGGCACAGCGAGATTTCCCCACGCCACTTACGCTGGCACGGTACTTTGCGGATGAGTCCGCAAAGTCGACTACAGTAAAGGTGCAACCCTGCAATTTCTGCCTTATGCCAACGCAGGTGGATCGACCTTCGTTGGAGGGGGGGGGGGGGGGCGCTCAGAGATCCCCGCTCGAGGGTATTTGGCCTGCTCTTCCACGCTGATTGAATGTCTTGGAAGAGGTGGGCGTACCCACACTTTATCCCACCACACGCGCGACCTGTTGATCACCTCTCGTTAGAGGCCGACCTAAACTGAATTTCTGGTTTCAGCCGAAAACGAAACCAGACCGAAAGTAAAAAAAATACTTTAAAGTAAAAAATTAAGTTACAAAAATTAAGTAAAAAAAGTACAAAAATTACTTTCGGCCGAAGCCTATCGCATAGGATTGCCTAGCGCCGACTGACCGGTCGATAGGCAGAGTGATAGACGTAGCACTAGCGTTATATTCTAAAAATAGAGATGCGGTTGACGAATGACGACCGAAAGTCAATATCAGTTTCGGCCGAAACCGAAACCACACCGAAAGTAAAAAATTGACTTTCGGCCGAAACCGAAAGTAAACCGAAAGTTAAAAATTTACTTTCGGCCAAAGCCGAAAGTTAAAAATTGACTTTCGGCCTAAACCGAAAGTATGCCGAAAGAGGCAATTTGCCAACTTTCGGCGCCGAGACCGAAACCGAATTTCCGTCGGGCTCTACCTGCCGTGTACTGATTCATACTGCTGGATGGCCAGAGGTGGGTGGATTCTAGAAACTTGCCCATTGTGTGAACTACCACGGCGGGGAATTGACTTGCAATCCAGAGTTCGAACCGGCGCCCTCTGGATTGCAAGTGCAGTGTGCCGACTATTACACCACGACAGCATCACAGCGCGATCCGTTAGAGGGTTGTAAAACATTTCTGCGTGCTTCGTGTGCCGTAGCGTGGCGGTGACACTGTGGTTTCAGTGTAAAGTATTTTCAGGCTCTATCGACAGCTCTCAGAATGTGGAATTTTTTTAAAAAACTCCACCTTCGGTCACTTTTGTGCACAAATCTACTGGAGTGTCACATGGCCTGCATTCATCAGACCAGGGTTGGCAAATAAACTCTAAAAACATCAATACAAGAGGTGGCTGGGTGGCTCTGGGTTTAGATCACTGAGCCAGCAACACTGATTTCCTGGGCTTGAGTGTGGGATTCAGCCGCCTGTGACTAAACTCGTTTCTCTATAGCACTTTGATGGTCTTGCTAATGACTGCACAGACACCCATCGTATTAAATGTGGTTCTTCTCTTCATGTGTCAAAATCTCATCTGTAAAAACCATAAAACGTCCGCATTGCCTATCGTATATCGAATGGCGCATCAAAAAGCAGTGCCCGTAGTATTCAAAATATGCCACTTGAAGGGAACTCGAAAGTACTGGAGTTCTGTGATATCCACTTCTGTGGGCCGTTTTCCAATATGTGGTGTGGGGGGAGATATTCTGCTCAGTGAGAGCTCCGAATGGACACTTTGTCTCATGGTATGAAAATGACAGCACAATTGAGATAAAAATATTGGCGAAAAAAAATTACATGTACATCACTACACTGTGAACGTAGTTTGTCCGCTGGGTGGCAAAACGGTCACCACGGAGGTCAAAGGTCTGGAGAGGCTGGGCACGACACTGGCTTCGAGATGGCGCTAACCAGGGGATTTTTCATCTGCCACAAGACCCACCCAGCCACGGGAAATGGCCCATGCTCGTGATGCCCGTGCAATAAATATATATTGATCGTGTGGCTCATGAAGCATCGCTTTCAAATCTGTTTTCATCTTAGCCCTAAAATCAGTGATATATATAATTTATAAAGTGCTGTGTTGCGTATTTTACACGGTGTGTGTGTGTATACATATGTATTGCTTATCCCTGCAGATCAAAACCGAGATGAGAATTCAACTGTAATCTCATACATTGCCCAGGTAATTAAAATAGCCCCTCCCCAATATATCTTGCATTAATGCAATACAGTTACGGGTTTTCTCACCATTATTTATTTAAATACAGTTTTATACAAATTCGGTTCGTGTCCTCGATAAGAGAAGTATTATGTTGCTGCTGTGTTAGAGAACTGTTGTCATGTACAAAACAAAATCGAACTGGGCTCAGGAAATAACGCTCTCTCTTTCTTCTGCAGGAGGCAAAACAATATCATCTCACAAATGTGCTTTCCCGACATCGCCCCCCCTCTGCATCTGTCAAAATAAAACCTGGTACGCTTCTCGTAAAAAAACACACACACATTGAGCAGCTGTTAGGTGCCTGTAATCATGCGTCGCATACAGACTGCACTGCTGCGTAACGACTGCGTTGAACACTGTACACTTTTGAAATGCGGATACCCACGGATCAATCGGTGGCCTCGGAAACGAATCGTGAACTAAATTCTCTCTTTGCAGCCTCTCGATGAGGGGTGCCCTGCTCAGACATTCTAAAGACAAACTTCAAAACGCCAGAACTTCTCTCTGCCGGTGGCGGGGTTGATGGGTTGATGGGTTACGGTCGACGTTTCTGATCATCTCCACTCAGCCAGCAGTGGATGAGCCTACCGCGCAGGACCTCCCAGAGGCTCCTGGAAACCCCGGGCAGAATGCCACGCGGACCTCTCTTTTTCCATCAACCACACACGCGATTGTGGGGCCCTCTGTTTGCGTGAAGCCCAGGGCAAGTCTCACCCCCTTTTGCCCTTCGCTCTGGGTGGCCCTACGTCCGCGCTCGATTCGATCGCAGTCGGCTCTGAGGAACCAAACGGTGAAAGCCAAAGAGCGTGAATTCTCTCCCTCGGTGGCAAAGCTTTGGGGTTCAAGAGATGGGCTGCTCAATGGAACGCTTGCCAAGTGCGTTCTCTGTGTGGAGGTTGTATGTTCTCCCCCTGCTCTGAATGGGTTTCTTCAGGGTCCCCCGGGTCCCTTCCAAAGCTAAAAACATGCGTCACTGGTGTAGACCAAACAATGCAGGACCCTGCTATGTCTTCAGACTCGACGTGGCTTTGCTGGGTAAGTAAGTCATTATTGTATCATGACGTATTTACCCAGCCTCACCTCTGCGCGTATTGCTTATCGGTTGTCAGTGATGAAGACCCCGTGATTTACGGACGGAGATGCAAACGCGAAAACAAAGGTGGCACGCGGAGGAAGTTGTGCTTCGGTGAAACCACCGACCCAGTGCCGTGCTGCTGTCCCACTGAGATACATTCCCCATTGCCACTTAGCCAGCTCATCCGTATCGCACGGAGTTCGTCCCGTTGCGATGTTAAGCGACGGCATCGCGACAAAGCGTCGCTGCTGAGCCGTGCGTCCCGGCGAACCTTGCTTCACCACCTGCTGACTAACGCACATTACGGTGGCGCAGCTTTCAAATGTGTGGGCGTTGCACGCCAGGCCCTACACAACAGACGCAAGGGACCCAGGTGCCGGGCTACGAAAAGGGAGGTGAGTAGTGGGGGGGGGGGGGGTTCCCATCCATTCTTGCGTCAGGATCCGGTGCCAACCGCGCTAGGGCGCTGCCGCGCAGCGTGCGTCTACGAGACTCGACACCTCCGCTTATCGTTACGACGCCCCCCAGGCAGCGGCAGCGGCAACGGCGGCATAGCCGAGCTACGGCGCGCGCGGGAGAGAGCTGAGACGTCGGAGGGAGCGGGGCGTTTGCGGGCTCCGCCACCGCCGACAGCGCCGCGTGCATTCAGCAGGCGGCGATGGCCCGGCTCTTTCCGCGCGACAGCATGCCCAGCTCGGGGTGCTCGTCCCCCGCGCCGCCTTCCTCGCGTTTCTTCTCGCGCAGGCGCTGCAGCAGCCGCAGCGCCACCTCGTCCCAGTCCTCGGGCAGGTGCAGCAGGAGGAAGGCGACGCAGATCACCAGCAGCGCGGGGAGGCGCAGCGAGCCGAAGTCCACGTCCGTGCAAAGCGCGTCCGTCACTGCGGGCGCCCCCAACCCAAGAGAAGGGCGAGCGGTTAGTGAGGATGGCGTCAGGCGCTAAGCGAATGCGCCGGGGTTCGTCGTGTGGGCGGCACCCTTCGTTCGTAGGTTGGAACTTCTTTCGCAGGCCACGTAGCCGACCGTCGTAATGGGAGGTGCGGACTGCGGTATGACCATGCGCCGAGCGGCATTACCTGCATTGCCCGGGACGCTGAGCAGAATCCCAAAGGAAATGAACGTTGGGTAGGTGACCGCCACCCCAAAGTTCACCAGGATGTTGAAGGCTGAAAGAATATCGCACGTTCGTGGTTATGATTTGGTAAATCGCACCAACAGATTTTTGGGTGCAGTCTCAGTTAACCCAAAACCAATTGAGCCAGTCCACAAGGGTCTCGGAAGGATGAGTTCCGCTTAACCATTTGCTAAAAACCAGCGCTTAAACCAGTTAGACTTTTTAGATTCGCACAACAAAACAAAACACACGGTAGTTTTTCTTTTTAAGCGGTGATCATCTGTTTACAGCTCTGATAAATTTATTTTGTGGGGGAGTGGGGGGTGGGGAGAATCATCAAACGAGTTCAATGTTGACTTATCCACAAAGCGGTGCTCGTTTTACCCGCCCTGAAGGGATAATCAAACAGCTAAAAAAAACACGCAAATCTCACTGGCCTTGGCCAAACCTCCCCATTCTGAAAAAGAGCCTTGAAGACTCAGCGAGGCTCATCCGGGTGACCGGGATGAGGACTCTAAACTTTCCGATCGCTAGCGGCTCGCTCCCACACCGAGCCACCTGACGACCACGTTCAATGTGCCCTCGAGCGGAGTGACGGTGAAGATGACCGAGGGATGACCGCTAATTTCACTTGAAGAGGCCAGCGACAAAGTGTCGAACCGGTTAGAACCGGTAATCGAACACGCACCCCACCTCTCCCGTTCTGGAGCAGCAAATTGAATATGGCTTCGATCTTGATTTGAAGCTTTCGTGACTGCAGGAATCCATACTCTCTGTTTCTTTCGGTAAAGTCACGTGGGTAGAAAAAATAAGAAAAGTACACGACGTTTCGGTCGCAACACAAGCGTTCGTCACCTGATGACAGATTTCTGGGTGCAGTTTCAGTTAAACCAAAACCTGATGACGGACACTTGCTTGTGTTGCGGCCGAAACGTCGTGTTCTTTTATTATATTTTTTTCTATCTACGTGACTTTACCGAAAGAACCAGAGAGAATGGGTTCGGTTTCCGATTTCAGAAACCTTCATCGTTGACAGGGCTGAGAGCAGCTCTTCAAGTGACATCATAGCCTCTTGTCCACACTCCAGGCACTCGGCCTCTCCCACGCGCATTCGAGCACAGTCGGAATTTAAGCGACTTGGACCAGATTTTTGACGCGACTGCAAATCGATGCAGTCGGAGTCCGTCGACGAACTCGACTCGAGAACTCTGTTCAAACACCCGTGACTCAAACCCGGATTCAAACCCAGGCTCTTGGGTTTCGGCCCCCTAAGGAGAACGTCCATAAATGACGTCACGCACCTAGGAGGAGGGGGGGGTCAGACATTTGTGACGATGTGTGACGAGGGAGGGGTGGGGGTTTGAGAAATGTGACGTCGCATCAAAATGCGCAATTTTAAATAAATATAGAATTGTTATAACAACACTAATTGTTATAACAACACTAATTGTTATAACAACACTCCTACAACATCAGCGTGCAGCGCCACATTAAATACGCGCTACAATGACAATAGTTTAAAGCGAGTAGAAGCATATTTCATTTTCAAAATGGAAATATAGTTTTGTGAGGGGGGGGGGCAGAGCTTTGTGACGTAATTTGAGGCGGGGGGGGGGGTCTGACTTTTTGTGACGTCGTGTGACAAGGAGGAGGAGCGGTCAAAAATCATCCAAAATCGCGTGATATCATTTATGGACGGCCCCAAAGCCCCCCGGGGCCACCCCTTACTAGGATCGTCACGTGCAGCAGCGAACGCACCGAGCAGGAGGCACGCGATGCCGCAGATGCAGCCCCAGGGCAGCGTGGAGGCGGAGGGCCAGTACTCGACACGCGTGAAGTACAGCACCACCGGCACGGCCGACACGAAGAGGATGTTGAAGAGGCCGAGCGACGAGAGGAAATGCGCCGTCTCGCCGAAGTTTGCGCTTCCCAGAAGCATCTTGAACAAGACCTGCGGGGGCCGGTGGGGAAGTCACGGGGTCACGGGGTGAGCCGTGAGCGAGACGGAAGGGGATGCTGCCGAGGGAAGGTTTCGGATGCACGCGAGCTCTCGGCCCGGTTCTGCCCGCGTAGACGACGTGAGATTTGGCGAGGTTTGTGGGAAGCTATGAGAACAAAATGAAAGCAACCGCTGCTTGCGCGGCTTCTGGAGGTCGCACTCTGAAACTCCGAGACGTGCTTTCGGGTCGCGCCGCGCGTCGTTCGACTAGAAGCTCCCGGGCGCGTGGAGCGAAACGTCGGACATCGTGGCGAACAACAGCCACAGCGGCACGACCCGAAAACGCGTCGGAGAGCCGAACGAAAGCTTCGGGTGAAACCCGTGGCACCTGGTAGAGCGCAGAGGTGGAGGCAGAGCCCACAGCGAGAGCCACCCCCACGATGGAGTCGTGGTGGAAGCCGTCCACGTAGACCATCATCACGATGCCGGCTATGGCCAGGATGGCTGCCACTATCTGCTCCACACAGACGTGCAGACACACAGGCACACAGACACACAGACACGCAGACACACAGACACACAGACACGCAGACAGGCAGAAGCACAGGCAGGCTTGGACGCGATTCCGTGCATGTGTGTGCATATTGAATGTTTCTTTTTTTTGCCGAATGCACCAGATCTCAGGACACTCAAGCGGGTTTTGAGCCTGGTTTGCATTGGCATTGTAAATTTCCTGGGATTACCGGATGTCCTAAGGCTAGGCTGTCATGCAGGCTGGGAGATGCAATACAGCAAGTGATTGTTGAATCCGTGGTTGAATCCGTTGCTGTCACAATGGGACCACGATGCACTCCTTCAGGAGCTGCCGATGTTTTTTTCGCATAATGCACAAAGGCCGCGTGCTCTTTACACGTGGCTGTGTTGTTTGGAACCTCTGAGTGTAGCGATTAAACCACAGCATCGTCCCGCCAGATATAGATAGCCCTGATTGAAAAGTGATGCATTTTTTACACGTGCATTATTGATTTATTTGTTGCAATTACTCGAGTGAGCACATTTGCCTTCGCCGATCTCTTACCCCAGGGCCCCGATTATGCCCAGCGCTTCCTAACGCGGAGACAACTGCTTGCATAATATTCATATTCTTGGTTCTTTCGGTAAAGTCAATTAGAAGGGAAATAATAAAATTCTCACGACGTTTCGATTGCAACACAAGCAATCTGTGGTTTTCACACCGGATGATGATTGCTTGTGTTGCAATCGAAACGTCGTGAGAATTTTTTTATTATTATTATTTTATTATTTCCCTTCTACGTGACTTTACCGAAAGAACCAAGAATATGAATCCCTGCAGTCACGAAAGCTTTAAATCGAAATTTTCTCGCGTAATGTTAGTGTACCCAGGAGTTGCTAATCACGACTCGGCCCCCTCCTAACGCACAACGCTGTGAAACTCCCATCACGTGCTTCGACGAGATGCCGTAGCATGGCTCGCCAGGAGAACGCGGCACGGCAAAGCGCGGACTAATATCATCTTTGCCGCTTTCCTCCCACACGTGGAGTAGACGCTCATGAATTAATTTGTTGAAAACATCTTAACATGTAGAGGACAGCAGAGCTTCGGCAATTATGGGCACCGGCTCGCCTCCTGGCTGCTGCTTTCCAGCTCGTCTGCTGCTCCTTGGCAATTGTGCGATGCAGTTCGTACGAACGAACACACCATTCAAAACTAAGACAACAAACTAAGCACTCAAAAAACTGTTCTAAAGAAATTCGTTTCCAATCTACATTTAAAAGTGCATAGCTCCAGTGGCTTCCTAATATCGGAGGGGAAGAGCTCTCCAGACGGCCGCTAAGGAATTACTTCATCTAGGAGTGGATTGATCCTGGCTGCTGATGGTGAAGATTAACATACAGTACCAGTAGTTTCTCTCGGGATGTACTGTCCCCCACCATAGGAACATGGAATTTCTGCCGTTGGCTCAGGGCCGCCAATTAGGGCTACACAACGCTCCGAGCTCACTTCAGCGTGGAGACACTTTCTATTCTGCACTTGTATTTGCTAATATGACCGTGTAATTAGTGCAACTCTTGAAGGTTTAATTACCATCGTTAAAATGGTTCTTCTCCTGCGGCAATAGCAGCAGCCGTATCATCTGAGTTTGTCGCCAAGCGGAAACGTTCTAATGGGTCCAGGGGGGGGACAGTCGGAATGTTTCCGATGGCGAGCGAGCGAGCCGCGTCGTCGGGGCGACCGCGTGTGCCGAGTGGCCGCCCTCTCGTCCATCGCGAGCGGGCCAAGCGGGTTCCATGGGAACCCGGGATCGTCTCCGGAGGTTGGCGTTACAGCGGGAAGGTCCCGCCGCGTGCAGCGAAACGTCGGACATCGCGTGGGGGGGAAGCGGGCAGTTATCCCGTGAGGTCACGTGTCTTTCGTGGAGTTCTGGGGCCCAGCCAACGGGCGGCAGCGTGGCACGGTTGTAGCATCCGTGCCTCGCGGCAACAAGTCATTGGGGTTCAATTCCCGACTCGGCGCCTTGCCGCGTGCGGTGTGTAACGTGCTCGCCCTGGCCGACAATGGGTTTCCTCTCGGCTTCTCCAGGTTTCTCCCATTGCTGAGCACACACGCAATGTGCCTTGTGTTGGCCAAACATCCCAAATGGGATTACACACAGCAGCCGCGTGAAACCCGAATGCAAAAACTTGCCAGGACCTTCCTAAAAACGAGTCTTGAGACTCGGCGAGGCTTTCCTTTAAATACAGAGTATATCAAATATATAAAACTAGCCAAGGATGGGTCTATTGCAGTAAATCTGAAACTTGCAAGCGAAAAGCAGACCGCGACGTGATATTATTTGCATGAATGCGCGTGCCATTCGTAAGGGCGCGGTGACACAGACCTATTTAATTTAAAGGTTATACTCCCTTGTTCATCATGACGTCCTTTTTACTTCGATGTCTCAAAAGCGTTACGGAGATCGCGTGACGTGAGGGTTCTGCCTTTGTCGTGAGGGCTGTGAGTTGACGCCGAGGGGGATGGAGGCGCCTCGGCCCCATGTGGAGTGACGTCAGCCGCTAATTATTATGAATGGAGGGCGGTCCATTTGTAGGACGTCACCTCATAATGATTATTAATGAAAGACTGTTCGATGTGGAGTGACGTCACCTGCTCATGATTATTCATGAGGGGGGCTGGTCGATGTTGAGTGACGTCACGAGCGTTGCACACAGACATTCTTGGCTCATCATAGTAGGTAATAATAATGGCGGGGGGTGTCCATTTGGAGGACGTCACCTGTTCATGATTATTAATGAGGGGGGCTGGTCGATGTGGAGTGACGTCACGAGCGTTAAGGACAGACATTACCGGGTGATTATCGTCGGTATACTGGTGAATACAGTTACAGATGTAATTTTCCAAAATATATATTTTAGTAAATGTAATGAAACCTATAACTCTCACGCTTGGGGATTGAGCTCAGCCCATCATTCCTCTGGGGTCAATAAAACGAATACCACTCCATGAGCTGCCCTATGGATAGACTCACCCCACGCCATAGCAATGTGAAATCTCCACCACTTGCAAGAAATCACCGCCTCTTTAACACGACGACTCACGCCCGGCAGGAGTGATGAGACGCATTCACGTTTGGCCGTCCCTACCCCGCGGGCCCACCGCTCGCCACCCGCTGCCACCCTCCAACGCGGCCTTCGTGCCGTGGCTATCGGCCACCGGAGGCGAGAAGGGGGGCCTCGGATCGCGCGCTTTCAGCATCGGCAGCGCGGCTCGCTCACCCGGACGCCCATGAACTTGTCCTTGAGCACGATCCACGACAGCAGGAACACGAAGGCCTTGTTGCAGCAGAAGAGCGCCGACGCGTCGCTCGGCGGCAGCTTGCGCAGCGCCAGCAGGTACAGGTAATGCGTGAGCACCCAGAGCGTGCAGAAGGGCGCCAGCCGCTTGAGGAAGAGACGCACCGTCATGCCGTCCTCGCCGACCAGACGCGTGCACTCCCTGCCGGGGGGAGGGGGGGGGAGCGGGCACAAATGCTCAAAACGTCCAGCGGTCCGGCAACAACCGGCACCGTTGCAGATACAACCCTTCGGCCGTGGCACGCCACGGGAGCGAGGAGAAGTGAGCTGCAGATTGAGGAAGAGCAACGGGTTCACTCTGGTGAGCTCGTTGGTGACCGGGCTTGGACCGTCGGCTCGATAAACCCGGATTCATCAACGGTGGCTGCAGTCGAGATTTCAAATCCAGGATCTGTGCGACCCTGGATCGGTGCTCCGTGTGCTCGGAGTCACCCGGCCAGCTCACCGCATCGGTCACCGCGATGACATTGTCACACGTAGGCCATTCTGTTCCAAATTTAAAACAGTTCCTCGCGTGATGTTCTTTTTTTAGCGGACGGACTCGGCAATCTATTTATCTAATTGGCTACGCAATTAAAATCCAGTCGCGGCATGAGTGCTGTACGACTTTGTGCTTTAAAACTTCTATTATTGGGTTTTTTCGGTAAAGTCACGTAGGTAAAACATTAAAACTAAAATTAATGAAAGTAAAATAAAAATCACGACGTTTCGGAGGCAACACAAGCTTCCGTCTTCGAAACGTCGTGATATTTATTTTACTTTCATTAATTTTACTATTATTAATTTTAGTTTAAATTTTTTACCTACATGACTTTACCGAAAAAACGCAAGAATATGAATCCTTGCAGTCACGAAAGCTTCAAATTTTTAAAACTTAGTTCACTCTCGTCTCCCTCTTGCGCCGTCCCTCTTAATCCCGACTCCTCTTTGCATTTAGATCAGAGAAATAGATCGCTATTTAGGGAAACCAGCGCGCGAGTCGAAGTACCCGTGGTTTAATGAATCATTGATGAGGACGCCAGCGATGGAAACGCTTTGAAGAAGCGCGCGCACACGCACACGCACGCTCGTAATGCAGTCGCTCTTGATTTATCTCGCAAGCCGCCGCGTGCCGGCGAATTTGACGGCGGCGCTCACCGTAGCAGCTTGAGCGGCGATTGGCGCTCGCTGGTGCTGGCCACGTGGCCCAGGTAGTAGATGGGGAAGAAGGCGACATTCCAGGCGGTGGCGAACCAGGTGAGGAAGAAGGGCGCGTAGACGCGGGACGAGGAGATGCGCGCCAGTTGGCTCACGCCGACGAGGCAGGCGGCCACGGCGAGCAGAGCGCCCACGCCGCACGCGCTGCGGTGCGCGCCCTCGGGGGTGCAGCAGCGGTCGCAACGCGGACTCCCCGCGCCCTCCCCTCCCTCCGGCTCCGTCCGGGCCTCGGTCGGGGATTCGTCACCTGCGGGCCGCACGCGCACGCACGCGCACGCACACGCGCGTGCACACACAAATACACAGAGATGCGCACACAAAAGCACTTTCTTTTCGTACAATTTTTTTTCAAGTTTCAAATGCACATTGATTTACCCGGCGAGGATTCACGAGCGAGTGCCCTGGGTCACCAACATGACAATAGCACAAGGGACAAGACTAAAGCAAATAGGCATCGGTGCAGAAATCAGAGCTAAAACCATCAAGTAGACGACATCAGAGCAGAGACGACCAAAATAGTAATCGGAGCAACGAGCGAAGGACATGGCAATGGTGACCATGGCAGTAGCGATAGAAGAGTGATGGGGAGGCGAGGAGTGAATGTGCAGCTGGATCATCGCCCACCCTGACTGCTGTACTCTGAATCCTGTCAGCCTGCAGTGAGGGTGGAATAGGCGCTTCATCCCAATGCAAATGCGGATAGAAATATGTTTTTAAAAATCGACAATACGAATTTACAAATGTGACTTCACGCCTGTAAAATGTAGCAAATACAGTTGAAGAGAAACGGTTGAATTAACAAATGCGAACGGTGACAGAACAACAACAACAAGAAGAGAGAGAAAGACACAGAGAGAGAGAAGAGTCACGGCAGTTGTGCCCCAGACGCACAAGCGAACGACCGGGAGCGATAACGATCACTGCAACAGCAGCGAGGGCGAGTGCCGTGACGATGGTTGAAGTCGCCTGCGGTGATGACTGCAATCAGCGCTGATTGCTAAGACCGTTCGAGAAAACGCTGACTCCCAACTCCCAAACTCGCAACACGGCATTACCCCACAGGAACGCACCGTGTCTTTTTTTCGATCGGTAATAAAACATTCGTTGCGACGGTCATCTTGGGACTGCGACCCTCGAGAGGGAACGAACGGACGGACGCGCCCCCGTCACCCCGCAGCCTCGGCTCGCCTCGCTTACCGGTGCCGCGGGTGGCCGTGCCGGCAGCGACGGGCGCCACCCTGGCAGAGTGCTTCCTCATGGCTGCTTCCCGGCCGCCGCCCAAACTACCGACGCCACAGCCGCCGCCGACTCCTGCCGCTTCAAGGCTCGGCCGGGCTTGGCACGCACGGCGGCACCAGCCAGTGCCGCACCATCACCGCGCCGCAGCCCGTCCCCTCTCCCCGCGCGAGGCGCTGTCGGCAGCGGCGTCTCGCCGTGCATCGCTTCACCATGGCGACCGAGCCGCTGGTCCCATTGACGTCCCCCCAGAGCGAGGGGGCACAGCTCCGACAGCCGGCAGCCGGCAGCGCGCTCCCCGCTGGAGTGGCTGCGGTGGGGCGGTGGAGAGCGATGGGGTCTCGTGCGGTTGGGACCGACGAGGCGTTTGTGACGAGCGAATGGACTCCGCTTGCGCCAACGACGTGGCAGCAGCAGCAGCAGCCTCAGCAGCAGCCACCGATGGGGAATGCGGAGCGAGCGCTGGGATTTTCCGGCGCTGCGCACTGCGTGGTTTTTTTTTTTTGCCAGTCATCGTTTTTTTTTGTGTGGCGGAGCCTTTGAGAAGCTTGACGCGCTGATACCGCCGTAGATTTTACATTCGTCGTAACGGAAACTGTTCGGATATGGAAACTTGAATTATCCCTCTCCATCACTAGAACCATCATCATCAATAATTGCTATTTGATGCTTTGAGCTGATTACGAGCATTGACATTATTTGACTAAATGTGCAAGTTTTGACGTGAATTGCTCCACACATAAATGGGATGCACTTTTGCCGACACAAATGTACCACGAGACGAAAGCATTCAATTCTGTTCACACCACGAATTAAAATGCCAGCGGCTTGCCTCCGTCTAGCAATTGCAATGCGGATCACGAGCAAAACTATCCTGCAGCCGGTGGTGACTTCATTGTACGCAGTATGCTGCGACTCACTTTGCATTGACACAGACGGGCGCGTTGGGAAAACAGCGAAAACAAAAATCAATTACCTCCTTCCCTCGTGACGCAAAGTCAAGTGCGTTACGTGTCACATGGGTTCCGTGCAGCCGTCTCGTGCAGATGAATCGATTACACCGTGGACACGGCCAGAAGGCGGGCGGGTCCCTCTGCAGGTGCCACGGGAGCGAAAGAGCCGAGGCCCCATTCTCAGCGCGGAAATGAAATGTCTCTTCTGCTTTGTGGGGGCCTCGGCGGAGGCGTCGGCCGCATTAGCCGGGCGGGGGATGAGCGCCGGGTTCATCTCGCGTCGCACGAGCGTAGAGAAGAGCCACTGCGCGAACGCCTCGCGAGGGCGCTCACGGAAATCAGTGTCGGTGGGAGGAGGAGGAGGAGGAGGGGGGGTTCACTTTGCGTTAGAGAATTCAATTCAAATGTGACCAGCTGTGCGATTGATGCAAATTAGCGAGTAAAATTAATGCGCAAAAGGAGCACGGAATAAAGCAGCTCTCTCACCCACTTGAGCAATTGTTTTTCTTGCGGTGGTTGTCCCACCCGATGACGGACGCTTGTGTTGCGCCCGAAGCGTCGTGCTTTGTTTCATTGTATTCCTAACTACGTGATTTTACCGAAAGAACCAAAGAGTATGGATTCCTGCAGTCACGAAAGCTTCAAATCAAGATTAAAACATACGCCGTGAGTTGCCATAAGAGCTGCGGAGACTGTCTCGGCACTGGGACACGCTCAGCCAGAGGGCTCCTTGTCCCGCGGTTTCAGCGTCATTAAGTCAAGTGACTGAGGTTGCTGTTGTTGTATTGCCCAACTATTTCCCAGGCATAATGTATTCATATTAAGATATAAAATATGTTTGACAGTCCGCTCAATGGGAGGTCGCTCCTTGTGTGACGCTGTGAGCTGGAAGTCCAAACCTCTGGCCATCCGGACAATCTAGATGTCCTGCAATTGACGTTTACTGTCTCAAGCGATGTTCTACGTTAACTATTTTAATCACTAAATAACAGCATGGCTGATGCCCTCTGTCTACCCAGGCTCAAGCCTCCTCTTCTTCGCCAAAAACTGAGCAGTTTCATCTACAATCCAATTGTTTTGTTCAGTGGAGAAATCCTCTTCCTCCCGTACTCCCCTCTCTCTGACTCGCCCCTTGGCCTCTGGCCCGGGGACGGAACTTGTCTACCGAGCAGACGGAGCGGTGACATCAGTGTGTGGGTGCTAGGTGGATTGCTATGTTGCATGATTGTGAACGAATGTGGCAGTGGCTTGGGAGAACCCTTCACGTAGCAGTGGCTCGACCATGGCTGATAATGATGATAATGATGATGAGGATTTCCTTATGCTTGTGATTCAACTGCCCTGGAGTCGATTCGCCCGTCTGCCACTTACTCTATGTTGTCTCATTTGTACCATCTCATTTGTCCTGCTCCGTTCATCCAGCTTTTCCCACTGCATTCGCCGACATGTAACGTTGGCATATATGTAACACGCCTTTGCGTGAACAGTAGCTGAATCACCACATCGTAAAATCAAGAGTGCATTTGGGTATTTGCGCCGTTCGCATAGCGCAAGGCCACACCGAGGGCACTGCTGCATCACAAGACGTCCTCTTTGCTCGGTTCACAGGAAAGGGAGAGTTTGCTCTCAATCTCCCACGTACCGCCACGTCTCTGTGGGGAGCGGTAGTGTAGTGGTTAGCGCTACGCTGCGCTACGAACCTGGCGACCCGAGTTCGATTCCCGCTCACGGCCAAAATTAGAGACGATTATCTGAACCGGTCCTGGATCTCCCCTAGATCGACTCAGCCTCAAATTAGTACCTGGTGCGGTGTGTAAACATCGCCACTGGGGAGACAAAGGCAGCCGGGCGTGGTGCTGTGCCATTATGGCCTTCACATGTGCTCGCTAACAACACTTGCCACAACATTCTGTCACAGGTTATACGGGGGACCTTTCTCTTTGCTTCTATAACACGATGTATTAAAAAGAAACGATATCGCCGACTGGATCCATCATCCGCGCTTTGACGTGCTCTCCGCAATTCTCGGGGGGCGGTGTGCGGTTTGGCTCTGGCCGATTCGGGTCACAGCAGAACGCCGAGTCGGGCCCGTTTCTCTAACCCCGAGCTCGTGGCTGTGGTGGCACTCGGCGCCGCGAGGAAACCCACGGCTCGCGATCATCGATCCCGAGAAACCTCAAAGGTAGCGCCTGCCCTTTGCTGCCCTTTGCTGCCCTTTGCTGCCCTTTGCTGCCCACATCTAAGCGCGCGAGCCCCGCTCTCCCCGCTCTCCCCGACTTCGCTCGGACGCTCGGTCAACGTTTCACGATGGCGCGGCAGTCGACGAAGCTCCCTCCGCCTCTGGTCACCGGGCAGTGTACGCGGCTAGTGGGTGGAGTAAATCGTGGGTGCTCCAACCGATCTCGAGGGCCTTTATCGCCGGCAGTGCAAGAGCTGGTAGAGGCTGACGCGGACCACTCGTGAACGAGACGCGTCCCGCCGGGCGATACTGCAGCGCAATTGGGATCGGGAGACCCACGGGTGATGAGGCTCACACTTTTTTTTGTTTGATCTATTTAGTTAATTAAGTTGTGTGACATTTATCCAAGAGAGTTTTTTTTTTGTTAAAACACGCATCCCGTTCAGAAAAAGAGCAAACATAATAATAGTGTTTTCCCCCTTTTTTCTGGCAACAAAACTGAAACCTTTTTACAAGGATTCATGTCTGCATTAACCACAATACTTGCAGTCAAAATGCAAACAAAAAACATACTATGATAATATATGCATTTTCTTGGTTCTTTCGGTAAAGTCACGTAGACTTTACCGAAAGAACCAAGAAGATGAATCCCTGCAGTCACGAAAGCTTTAAATCGAAATATATGCATTGTCCTTGAAACTGATTGGTCCACACCAAGGGACGGCTTTCTTTTGAGCCTCGACCCAATTGGTGCTCGACCAGAGGACGCCAAAAGGCGCACAGCTCAAAGACAATTTTGACTGCAAGTATTGTGGTTAATGCAGACATAAATCCTCGTAAAAAGGTTTCAGTTTTGTTGCCAGAAAAAAGGGGAAAAACCCTATTATTATATTTTGGTACTGGCAAAGGAGGTATAATGATGAAGAGCAAACATGTTTGCTTTCAAATGTATCCTGGATGCCGCGAACGTATTGGAATTTGGAACTGGTTCCGTGTGACCTAAACCGTCGATCCAACTCCAGACACAATGGGAAACATCCTCTCGAGCGGCACATACATCACAGCGAAACCATTCTGCAATAGACAATGGTAAATGGCTTCGGGAGTAGCTTCGTGGTGAATATCTGAACCGCTGCAAGGGAATGATGAATGCGAGAAGTCGCGCTACTGTGCCCTCCATGGTTTTTATATATAGACTCAGACTAGCATAGAGACTTATAGACTCACACAGAGACCCATTGACTTATATAGAGACTCATAGACTCACATAGAGACCCATTGACTTACATAGAGACTCATAGACTCACACACAGACCCATTGACTTACATATAGAATCATAGACTCACACAGAGACCCATTGACTTACATAGAGAGTCATCGACTCACATAGAGACCCATTGACTTACATAGAGAGTCATCGACTCACACACAGACCCATTGACTTACATAGAGAGTCATAGACTCACATAGAGCCCCATTGACTTACATAGAGACTCATAGACTCACACACAGACCCATTGACTTACATAGAAACTCATAGACTCACATAGAGACCCATTGACTTACAGAGACTCATAGACTGACACACATACCCATTGACTTACATATAGAATCATAGACTCACACAGAGACCTATTGACTTACATAGAGAGTCATAGACTCACACAGAGACCCATTGACTTACATAGAGACACATAGACTCACACATAGACCCATTGACTTACATAGACTCATAGACTCACACACAGACCATTGACTTACATAGAGACTCATAGACTCACATAGAGCCCCATTGACTTACATAGAGACCCATTGACTTACATAGAGAATCATAGACTCACACACAGACCCATTGGCTTACATATAGAGTCATAGACTCACACACAGACCTATTGACTTACATAGAGACTCGCATAAAAACTTGCAAATAGACACATAGACTCGCATAGATACCCGTAGCAAATGATAGATGTGGGCAGTGGTGTTACCCTGTGCGCCGTGGTTTGAGACTGGTGTGATATTGGTGATCGCCGTTGCACTGGGCCCGTTCGTGTGCGATGAGAGCGAGAGGTGGTCGCGCTCTTCCTGCCCCACGCCGCCGACACCGCCGCCGCCGCCCTGCAGTTACCGCTCTCCACAGCAGATGGGGCACCTGGCCCGGCTGCAGCCCGGTGCAGATTACGTGGACGGCAGGGCATGACCTCTGCCGTGTGGATTGCAGGGTCGCGGC